GAAATTTTGCCCCGGGAGCTGGCCTGTCCTGAGGCCCCTCTGGCCAAGTATGGCTGTGTGGCGGCTGGTTTTGCCTTCATGGCTCTGATTGCACTGTGGGCCTGAGAGATTCCTCACTGCTCTGAGGGACCTATCTAGGATGGCTTCTCCTGAGGACGCCCCTAAATGACTTTGGTCCTCATTTTTTCAGTGAGACTAAGCATTTACTAGGCACGGGCTCTCCCAGATTTTATATGTGTGAGACCCTGTTCTTGCTCAAGACTTAGAAAGGATGTTTTGTCTGAGTGCCTATTTAACTGGAACATTGGCGTCAAGACCATCACTCCGGGGATGCTATGATGTGTAATAAAATGCCCATTTACCCTTTCCCGTCAACCACGCTGTAATTCACATCTCTGATAGGGGAAAAGGAGTGTGGGTAGAACTGGGACCCGTAGTCACTTCAGTGGTCACAGGCCGTTCCCCCCAGACATAGAAGGATTGCTAAAACTTCAACAGCCCTTTGTTCCCTTACCCATGGGAGCCGAGAATTAGAGCAGCATTTAGAGGAGGAAGGGCGTCTAAACCAGAAACCAGGGGCTAGGTATTTTTCCTTCTAACTACCTCACCCGCTCTCAGTACCTGCCTGCCATCCCCACCAAGTTCCTATTTTCACACCGAGTCTTGTGTGGCCTCAGGACACTCTTGCCATTCTCTGAGCTTCTCTCTTTCTGGCTGCCATAGGCTGAAGGATTAAAAGCCAGTGTTTGCAGAGGGGGACCGGCGCCAGATAAATACCTAGGGTGATTACTCTGTGCTGTAAGCACCTAGTGACTTTCCTTCTCCTGCCTGACCAGCTGGTACTAAGGACAGTGCCCACAGCAGCCAAAGCCTGGAATTGAGGAGGACAGGGTAACTGCTCCCTGCCCTCGCCTGGCATCTCACACTTGGTGAAGAGACGAGGAAGGTGAGGGGTCTAGAGATATAGGAATATAGGAGTAATATAGGAATAAAAAGTTATAAGCTTAAGAGATGGAAGCTGACATCCATCAGCTTCGCCAACAAATAGGGATAAACCTTTTGGCCCTCCTTTGTTTTACGATGGGAAGCTCTGTCAGCAACCCAAATGCTAGTTTTTAATGATTGCTTTCTACAGCCCCAGGGTTAGCTATTCTCAATAAACTCCCACTCCCACAACCAAGACCAAAGTTAACTTTTAATAGCGGTTTCTACATGACTCCTAGCATGCATCCCATGCCTGATGCTTACTTTCGCTATGAAAAGGGCCTTGAAACCTGCCCCTTTGCCAAAGCTTCAGAATCCCAGACTCTAACTGTGGTCCTAGTTAATTGGTAAGCTTTTATGTCCCACGGTGGTGTTCTTTTTTTGTCCCACGGTGGTGTTCTTTTTTTCTAATAAAGTTTGCTTCTGGTTTTAATAGACTTTGGTGGTCTGTTCCCCATTATTGCTCGATCCCGGACCCAACAGAAGGAAAGATGTGCCTGGAAGCTCACTGGTCCTCACCAGTTTGCCCCTTCTTGTGATTTTCAGTGCGATAGTCCAAATAGCCTTAACATGAACAAACTCTCCTGAATCCTTCTTGTCTAGTCTTTGTCTCCTTTCTGCCCTATTCCCCTCCTGAAAAAGTAAGACATCTAAATCCACAACCAGGGATCCATGAGAAAGCAAGAGGTGGGCAAAACCAGGAGAGGGGGAGGGTAGAGCTCTTCCCTGGAGCACTGTCCTGGTGTCCTCCCAGCAGTAGGTGCAGGTAGTGAGGTGCCCAGGAGAACCTGGTGTGTGCCCCAGTGCACTGGCCTCGGCAGGGAACACCTGCAGTGTGACAGGTGCTGTGCTATGGTTTGTACACAGATCACCTCACTGGCACAACTCCAGCAGCGACATTATCCCTCTAGTAACCCGGGAAAACTGGCATTCAGAAAAACTAAATAGTTGGATCTCTTAGCCAGTGGGGCCTCAAAACTCACTTTCCTATAACTGGATGAAAAGCTCCATATAGTCTTTCCTTCCTTGTGGTTTTCCCCCCAAACAGCCATGTTCACCCTGTAAGTTAGAATCCCAGATCAGCTCAGAGAGTGTGCGGCATAATTGAGGAAGCTGAATGGAAGGGTATTCAGTAAGGTGTGTGTGGGCAGGGCTCAGACAAAGCAAGGAATGTGCAAAGGACTGTACAATACCCTGGAGCTCAGTAATCAGCATGCTGTTAGTAGAAACTGGAAAGGACCGGTCCAGACAGCTGTGTCTTTGATCTACAGGGACCCAAGCCGGAAGGTGCTAAAATAAATTATTTTCTTGTTCTGATTTGTTATTGTCTTATTGAGTAAAACCAAACCGAATCCTGAGGCTGGAAATGGCTGGTACTGCTCTGGTCAAGCCACAGGAACACAGAGCTGTCCTGCCCGTCATCATGGCCTGCTATGTTTACATTGAAATGATCTTGCCAGAACTTTGGCAGGGTAAATTGAAAGAGCTGAGGTTGTATGGAAGCTAGAGAATTATCCCTATCACAGGAACGTGTCTACATGTGAAAGGAACCTGAAGGAGAAGCGTCCTGGCCCACTGTGGCTCTCCCAGTGTTTCTGGACCACTGGTGCCATCAGACATCTCAAGCTGCTGGTGAGTCGTGAGCTCTCTGTCCTCATCCCTCCCAGGAACTCCGGATTCCCCTGTGGCCTCTTCTCCAAAGCCACCAACATTTTCTTTCCTCCCCATATCTATTTCCTTCTTTTCCCCCCCAAACTCTTACCAACCAGGGCCAGACATGTGTTTAGTTGGAAGAATCTTGTGTCAAGAGCAGACATAAAGCTAGAGGGTGGCTCCAT